GAAACAGCTTTCCTGGATTCACATGAGAAATCCATGAACAATCATAGGTCCAGAACAAATTCTACGCAGAAATCTAAGTCCAGAGACGATTGTTAAGTCAGAGTTCGACGGACAAGAGTCCAAGACGAAAAAGCTAGACAAAGATCGACAGAGCAGGGACGAACGGAAGTCTTGATGTCTGCATAAATTAGGTGATGAAGTCTCTCATCGTTGCACTCAAAAGTCACATCTCATTGGCAATGAGGATAGCAATTTAGTGTTGAAAGAAACAGCTTTCCTGGATTCACATGAGAAATCCCTGAACAATCATAGGACCAGAACAAATTCTACGCAGAAATCTACGTCCAAAGACGATTGTTAAGTCAAAGTTCGACGGACAAGAGTCCAAGACGAAAAAGCTAGACAAAGATCGACAGAGCAGGGACGAACGGAAGTCTTGATGTCTGCATAAATTAGGTGATGAAGTCTCTCATCGTTACACTCAAAGGTCACATCTCATTGGCAATGAGGATAGCAATTTAACGTTGAAAGTAATTTTACATTTAAAGAAATTTGTATTGTCTTTTTTATTTGAGTACATGTTAGTACCATTTTTCCTTCTTTTGTAACTAAGTCATTGATTTCTTTTCTTTTTAAATTCTGTTGATAAACTGATTAAATTTTATATTTGTTCATTGAAAGGGGGCTCGTCGTGTTCATTTCTTCAATATACTTGTTCAGTGATCTGCATTCTTCTTTCTATCTATCCACACTGGGTAAATCACACCGCGGAGGTCATTCCATAGCAACGAACCGTAGTGAAAGAGGTTGGTGTGTTTTTTTTGCACGCCGCCAATTTGTCACAGTGTGTGTGTCATTATCTCCGCTACTGGCAGATTGCAAACTGTAATCAGTTGGATTATCTTTGATTTAACTGTTATTTAGCGGGAGGTCACTACGTCAACCTCGGGTCAGGAGAAAACTAGGTTTTTGAAATGATTTACCGAATGTATTCACCAACGTTGGGATTTATATTGTTATGCCATAAATATTATTTTGCATGTTGCTAATTGAGTTCTTTACCTACATGGTCTCTGACGTAAAAGGTCAGGCGGTTCACATTAAACTTGATTTAAAATTGTAGAGTATTGAATGGTCAGAATAACACAACCCAAATTAAGTAAACTGTATCGTCAGATAATTGCAGTGTGTCCGATCCTATCTCATCAGTGTATAAGGTTCCTGAGATGGATGGATGTACGAATAGATATACAGATAAAATTAAACAGCAGAATTTATTTTTTGTGAAAAAGTAAATGAATAGATAGAAGACAAATTAAAAATTGAGTGTTATCTGTGCTAATGGTGTTTTTATAGAAGCCATTTACGTACTTATCCAAAATTCGGAATTCAAGACAAGGATGTGTAAAAACAGATAATAGTCTATTTTACATTAATATAAATATGATTTTACTAGAAAACTCCGAGAAGCAATGAAACTGAGGTGACGTTAGATGAAGTAGAAATATTCTGCAAAGCTCATGATTTGTTCATTTCTGCATTCCACATTCTGAGTCATTAGAAATCACTAGCTTTAGCAAACGCTGTGCCTGATTTGGATCACTTTTGGCAGGGCCACTTGGTAGCACGCATTTGGAAATAAACTTTTAAACGAGGTATAAATGATATGGAACATAAAATTTTCTTCTATAGCTTTAAAATTACTTTCTAGCATATATTTTTACAAGTTATTAACGTGTAGGCACCTAATGAGAATGGGGCCCCTATCAGCGTTGGGCCCCTATCAGCACTGGGCTCGATAGGGCCCTAATAGGTTCAGTCGGCTGAGGCTGACCCTGCATTCATTTAAATTAGAGTCCACTGTATCCACTTTAAAATGAAAATCACTTCTTAAGTAATATTCATGCGCTCATCAGCTAAATTTGTTTTCGTATGCGTTGCTGGTGGGTGGTGGAGGTTATGATTTTTAAAACTGTAAATATGATAGTTGGTTTTAAAGATTTAAATGCGTCGAGGATCCACGCATGCGTGCTACTAACTCGTATTCTCTCCCTTTTTTTTTTTACTTAAGTTTCATTTCCACCTATACATTACTTTTCAGTGGTAATGTTGCCGTTCTCAATAGACATAAATTAAAAGCTATGTACTTTCAATGCATCATATTGTCAGGGTGCTTCACTTTGAAATTTATTTCTTTAGATAAGTCATCAGACTATTGTGTGCCAGTACTGGAATATTTCCAATGACAATGACAATCGTTCTCTAATACTCGAGAAACAGTGACTATAGGGACAGATACGATAACATTACGAACGATGGTTTCATTTATGTGTTTCGTGTGCTACTTACCTATTTGTAACTATGCCCAATTTGTTTAACTTTACAAAAACTCTTCGACTACCAGTGACTTTTCCCACTGTATGCTTTCTACATTTTCTTCTTCCATTTTATTTTTATTTTTTTAATTTTTTGAATGCTTTACTCTCTTTCGCAATAAGTTATTGCTTGTACCAGGTAATCATTGATCATGGATAAACGAAAATGAAAACACAGAAAGATATTGATAATATGATTCAATTATATAATTCGAACGTAACGCACCGTTAATATTCTATATGGTAGAAAGTTGCTCGGGTGCGTTGATGTTGATGGGAGGATGCATGTGCGTACACGTGTTTGAAAATTAGCATGTTTGTGTATTTCTTTTAATATCCTCACCTTCACGAGGCTACACGATGGGGAGGAGTGATCAACCTGTTCGGCCAAGATTGTAAAAACCATTTCCAGATGACGTTTAGATTAGTTAAGGATCGATGGAATTCCTCGCCTAGAGCACAATGTTATTTCGAAGTACTCTCGCCCTTTTTAACGTCGTAATTTACACCTGAATTCTGATACATACAATGGTCTTGTTGTTATTGTTGTTGTTGTTGTTGTTGTTGTTGTTGTTGTTGTTGTTGTTGTTGTTGTTGTAGGGCTTAATTTCATTTTCAGCACACGATACATGGCAGCCAATATTAATGGTAGAGAAGAACTCGGAGGGAAAACCCCAGAAAGAACCACCAACCCACAAAAAGCTACTAGCAAGCTTTTCGACAAATTTACATAGGCCGAATCCGAGACTGGAAACCACGCAGAGATAAGATAGCAGTGATCCGTAACGGAGAGCGCTTTCAACCACTCGGTCCCACTGGGCTCCATGATTTTGCTTAAAATGGGTCACGAAGACACGGTGACCTATTAAATAGTCGTGACTTTTGATTATTAAATATTCACCTTTACTTACAGGTAACTAACTTTTGCTGACATCCTTTTTAAGAAACTAATAGATAGATAGATAGATAGATAGATAGATAGATAGATAGATAGATAGATAGATAGATAGATAGATAGATAGATAGATAGATAGATAGATAGATAGATAGATAGATAGATAGATATTAACACACATACATCTGGAATCTGGATATATGAATGGATGTAAAGACGATTTTGACAAAAGGATAATAGTTAAACATGACTTATCTCCGGCACCATGACACTAATTTTAAGGAAAAAATTCTTTATATATGTAAACACATTTTTATTCCTTTTATCTCAAATTATGAGAGCATTATAGACAGATGTCTCAGCAAGATTTTCACTGTAAAAAGAAGCATGTGTAAAGCATTGAGAGATCTTGGGATTGAAAGGTAGTGTTTCGATAGGTTTTGAGGCTATATTTATCCAAAAGCTTAGTAAAATTGCTTAATGTATCAATACACTTCAAATGTCTGAAATTTTTTTATCCCGCGGTCATTTTTTCTGTCATCTCAGTCATGTAATTATTCATAATGAGTCTTCTATTGTCAAGTCGAGCCATTCGTGTTTCCCATACCTTGAAAAGTGTCCTGGTTTCTTTCCATAAATGAGCTTGAATTATTTTGTGTAAAGACATTACATTCTTGAATAGTAACAATCCATTTTAACGTCAAGCACTCTTCACAAGTTTGATCATCTAAAAATATATATTAAAATCTCTATGGCAGACAAAATTTGTTTCAAACGGTTGGAAAGGCAGAATGCATCCAAAAAGTCTGATTCAAAATAAGTTTAACTGTTCTGATTTTCCTTTTCGCACTGATTTTTTAAAATGCAGTGGTGCACAATGCAATACTTTTCCCCAAGAAATAGGCTTGATTCTCTTCCTAGTAGGGAATAGAGGTATCTAAGTGGTTAGCTTGCCGGACTCTGGATTTGAATTCTAAATAATGTCATGCTGTGTTCTCGGCCAAGGCACTTAATTTGAGCTGCCTTGACATTAAATAACCCAAACATTGATGTGCCGTAAAAAAAAAAAAAAAAAAAAAAATATCAAACCAAATTACATCAGACTATCTAGACCTAATAAGAGGTACTAATGGATACCTATAAATAACAACAGTATAATATCAGATGTGTTAAAAAGGTTTTTTTTTCAAGAACAACCATCTCTCGGGAATAAATTGGTGTTCTAAAATTGTGAGCATCTTTCCTAGCCAAGATTCCGATATGATAATCCCATCTACACCTTGGCGAATTGAACTATTTGTGCATTGTCCTAGCGACATCTGTTGGATTTTATGAGTTGCCTCTCATAGAATGGAATATTAACATAACTTACAATAATAATTTCCCCATCAATCGATCTGAAATTTACTTATTAAGAGAGAGAGAGAGAGAGAGAGAGAGAGAGAGAGAGAGAGAGAGAGAGAGAGAGAGAGAGAGAGAGAGAGAGAAAGAGAGAGAGAGAGATGTGATTATGATTTTTAACGTAGCATTAAAATAATTTCAGTCATATGGCTAGGATTTCTGCAGCGTGGCAGTTTATAGTGATATCTAGCACTAGGACATCATGCCGCAGACATGTTCCACCCAGTCACATTATTCTGACACCAGGTCTACCACTCCTAACACTAACATCTTAATGCTGAGCGTCAAGCGAGGCAGCTGTTAATACCATTTTTGCAAGTCTTTGGTATAACTTGAGCGGGGGATAGAACCCACGATCTTCCGCATACGAGGCGAACTCTCTAACCACTAGGCCACCGGAGCGATTGATTAAAGTACATACTCTCACAGAAATATGCCAAATAGAACAGATTTCTTTTCTTGAGTTGTGCCTAAATTTATTTTTTATGCCATCTGGTCATATGGAATTTTTCTATTTAAGTTTTATTTAGATACTATTCAGCATATGGTGGATGGTTGTGTGATTCGATGCTGATGATGATGGTGCGTGCGTGTGTGTGTGCGTGCGTGTGTGCGTGATTATTCCCTATTAATGGATCTGTAGTGCCTCGATTTCATAATTTATTACTAGGTGATCAAATAGGTCAATTATGGGTCAGCATGAACAGTAATTTAGAGCACAATGTAAGGTCAAACAGATTTCTCCTTTCCTTGACCTAGCTTCAGTCTTATTAAAATCAGATATCGTGAGTCCTATGTGAAGTACGACAGTGGAGATTGATTTTAAACTGGTCCTGGTTTATACCTTAATTTTAATAAATACAAATTAAAGAAAGGGTCACTGAGGCACATTCTTGTATCAATTGTTTATGACAGGAATGTTTATTATTAGATAAAGTTGACCTTTACGTACTTGTAGACAATGAATTTTCTGATTGAATCACTTTAACAAGTACACACAAAACACACACACACAAGACACGCACACTAGCACACACACACTAACACACACACTCACACACACATATAGACAGACAGACACATAGACAGACTGACAGACAGAGACAGAGAGACAGACAGACAAAGTCACAGAGAGCGACAGAGAGAGATTCATGACCGTTACAGAAACTTGACATTAAAACATGCATCAAGATGAATTCCAGCCACTAAAAATTAAGAAATTTATGTCTGTGTTGATAAAAATTAAAATTTGCTGCAATTAATTGAGTTGAACAGTCAAAATTGTGAATACACCGTTAACTACATAATGCGGTTCATATCCTTAATATACGTTTGGAACAGGTCAAATAAATGAACATTATTGTTTGTTGTAATATCAAACGATCAAGATAACAAATTATTTGTAGTCGCTGATACATGGAGACGATTTACATTATGAACGAATTTTGTACACTGTTGAATATAGTATTAGCAAGTAAATATGTAAAGGTATGCAGGCTTACTAATCAAACCCAAAACACCTAAATTGTAGTACTTTTATTTTAAATCCTAAACAGGAAAGTTAATTGTTCCAGTTTGCCAGTGCAATTGGGCAAATTTATATGTAGATCTCTGTAGAACACATTTAGTTAGACACGTGAACAATTAATTAGATTTATAGGAGACCTGCGCTTGTTTACATCACCATAATGCACGGAATGGTACCGTCTCTGGCATGAGTTTAGGGATTTTTAATTAAGGCTACATTTGTTTAAACTAAACAGTTGACTTCCGATCTGTAGCAGAGTTGTCATATTTGAAATATTGCAGAAACTGTATTTGGTTGTCAGACGAACTGCATTGTTTTGAGCCTAGTTCAGGCAGGAAGTATATTTCATCCAGAGGGCATGATTCCACATGAAAACTCTCGGTTTAAATATGAAAATCGAATTTTTAAATCAGTCTACAATTTTATTCAAGAGAAAACAAACATAAAAAACTCTATGTCGAATTTAAGAAGTAAATTCACTTGAAACATTATCCAGGGGAATCAATTGTATGAAAATCAGCAGACACAATTCTGGAAGTAAGTGCTTGGAAGCACAAGGAATTTGTACAATCTTATGTAATTTGATGATATTACTATCATGAATTGTTTTTGTTTGATTTGTTTTTGCTTGTATTTGCATGGATTAATTTGTTTAAATTCGTAGATAAATTTTATTGATATGAGTATAACCGTTTCGAGTTCGTTTATCTAAATTCGTACAATGATATTTTTAATATAAATTGACGACTCGTTGAATGTAGTCTCGAGTATTATAGGAAAATATGTATCTAGAATTGCCTTCTTTTAGTTGAGATCATTTACGAGAAACCGTGTGAATTTTCCAACCTTACGTGTTGTCACGAATGAAAATTACCTAATTGTGTGTATTCGTTATAACTACCGCAATGGAAGGAATTACATTCATTCATTTCTGTAATTGAGACGAGACTGTAACTAATGTCTAGGTGGGATGTTGAAATAGCCATTAGCATGACCATTAATTTTGTGAAACCAGGATTGTTTACAGTCTGTCATGGTCAGTTAGATCAGAAAGTTATTGGTATCTGTTTGAATTCCGATAGAACTATCTGATATAACGAGGCGGGATTGATCTATTCCCCCAGTATGATATAACGGAAGATTTAGTTTGCTTGTTTGTTTTCTATTGGAAGGTGAGGTAGCTCCGTGTGACGGCACACGAATTTGCAAAACTAAAGTGACCATACAAAGTAGGAAGGGTCGAAAGAGGCGAGACACATGAGCATTTGGGAAATGAAGGAAAAGTGGAGAGGACTTAGACTTACGGGCACAAGGAAGTTAAGAGAGACAGTCGCTGTGAATTTAGACTGAATCAAGACCATCGGGTTATGAATCTTTACAAGGCACTGTTTTCGATCTTTCACTCGATTTAATGATTAATTAAGTTTATTACTTATCAGATCGGCTTTTTGTATAAGCGTATTCGTATTTGCAATTCGTTGAATCACATAATTCAAAAAGAAAGAAATGTATCTTTCACTCGTAATGCGTTACCTCAATTGTTTACATATTGTTACAAATTTTGATTAAATTTTTTCTTTATTTTTAATGGGGACTCATATTGTTCTGTTCTATATACCTGCTCATTATCTATTCCACCTATACGTTTCACACTTTATATTGATATTTACTCGTTGCGGGTAAATTACACCGTCGGCGTTCACCCTCTAGATAACGATAACCAAAACAAGACAACCCACCCCAACAAAGCTGAGGATGGATTTCTGACAGCCAAACAATGTAATCTTTTGGAGGCGATGACTTCTTTAACGAAGCAAGAAATAAGAAATATTTAGGTTTAATATTTAGTGCATTAGAATGTTTTGGAAAATGTGTTTTGGGCTTGATTAGTAAGTCTTCGTGTGGCACTAACTTGCAAGTATTGGAATAAATTGAAATTAAAATACATGAATGAAGTCAAATTAAGAAAGATTGAGCTTCAAAAGAAGAAAGTTTGAGACGAATGTATTTAAAGGAAGAATAAAAACCAAATGCAATTTAATAAATACGAGAGAGAGAGAGAGAGAGAGAGAGAGAGAGATGCAGCTCCAGAAAGAAAACAATTGCAATTGCAGAAAGAGGAAAGAGACGGAATGAGAAGATATGCAAATGCAAGAAGAAAAGAAGGAAAGGTAATTTCAATTCAGATTAAAAGAATTAGAGCTGGCTTGTGGAAAACACTCCACTTATTTAAACACGAGTTCAGGTTGTATTTGGATGTTTCTAAAATATTACGTTATTACCCATTTTAAGGAAAAAGAAGTTGATAAGTATTTTCCTCATTTTGAGAAAATTGCTGAAAATGTGATATGGACAGTAATGTATCTAAAGCAACATTTGTTGGGATGGAACAAATCAAAGTTTGATTTTATTATGGAGACTTATGAACGATTCATGTCGAAGGGTTTGTAGCACGTTTTAGTGATTCTGCCCATCCTACCCCTATGAAAAGTTTAAGAGAACCATGAGTTTCTAAGAGTCTTTTATTATCTGGCACTTTGCCTTTTTCTGTGAAGTCATCTTCTAATCAAAGTGTTCTTATTCAGGGAGTAGTGCACAATTTTGTTAATGTTCATCAACATTGTGCAAATTTGTCAATAGACTTCGTTTCAAACCAGTTAAGTCTTTGGCCATTAAGGGTTATTTTTATTACTAGGAAATGACCTAGTTGGAGATAGGGTTGAGCTTGATCCACTTGCAACTGACAAGCCTTGTTTGGATCAGAAAATCGATCATATTGAAAATAAAATCTGATTAATACTCAGATGGACAATTTCTAACGCTATGGCAAGGAAAGCTCTTGAAAATGATGTTGATGTGGGAATTACCCCTTAAGATGACATATTCATTGGTTAGGTCACTTTGCATTCAAAAGGCATTGATCGAAGCGATTTTGTTTCTATTGCTCATTCTCTGTATTCTAATTAGGTGACAAGCGACAATCACTGGTCGTCGTACAGGATAAATATCACGAGACCTTCTGTTTGTGTCAAATGGCTATTAGCGAAACTGAAGCCATGGAAGTAACAGTTTTTTTCAATAAAAATGATGTCCTTATGACAAAATGATGACAACCTGTGTCGCGTGAGCAATGTTGTTCCTATGTCTTATCGACCCAAACTTCTAAGTCTAGCGCATGAAACTTCTTTTGGCTGGTCTTATCACAAGATCTTGAAACATTTTTATTGGCTGAAAATTAAAAGCAATGTTTGTACATATGTGCATGTACAAGATTCCCAAAATAAACTTCTTTGGTAAATATGAAAACTAAAGCCATAGTAAAAGCTCTGATAAAGTTGTTATACAATCTCGCACTTCCAAATGTGTTCAATCGGATCAAAATTCTAGAATTTTTCAGCAGGTTATGCATACATTAGACATCCAACAATTTAAATCTTCCGTCTAGCACACTGAAAGCCTAAGGGCTTTAGAAAGATTTCATCAAACTTTGTAAAATATTATTCGTTCATGTTTTTTTATAACGGAAAGGATATTAACTAAGGTGTTCATCCGCTGTTGTTTGCAATTGGGGAATCAGTTCACGAATCTTTGAACTAGGGTTTGGACATACTGTCAGTGGACTATTAAAGTTAATCTTCTTGACTATTTCTAATTATAAATACAAATTGTCAAGGGCTTGTGTTGTAGGTAAGAACCAATCTGCACGCTGCTGTCAAAACTAAACTAAAGGTAGGACAAAGATGAGTTTTCAGCCTGTTGATAGAGTTCTGGCTCTCCTGTACTTGCCTCAAAATCCTCTTCAGGCTAAACATTATGGTTGTATTGAAAGTGAGTGATTTAAATTATACTCATGAGAGTCGAAAATAAAAAATCT